GATTGCTTAAAGCTAAAAATATTTTCAATTCACAGAAATGTAGGTGACATGCACATCAGATATTACTCCTTCGTTAAGCAAATGTATACTTAGACTAAGATTATCTCTCATGACAAAACAAAAGCAATGTAAAGTTGTTCAACTGTCCTGCACACACTAGACAAGTGCTGAAAAGAGAAGGGCGGTTAAACCTAACAGTCAGAGAAAGCTTCAAGAAGGAGAAATTGCGATCCTAATCTGAATAACTGAAGTTAGATGAACAGAAGCCAAAAACACAGAAAGCACAGCACAGGGATTATAACAAAAATATGAAAGAAGGTTGTCCCCTGAAATAAATATCCCGAAACACTTCATTATCCAACCAGCTATCGATGAACTGTTAACATGCTAAATTGTATACATACTTGACTTCTCATTTGGCTTAATTTCTCCTTTAAATCCTGGATTTTATCTTCTGAATTAATGTGATCACGTGATGTAAGCTCCAGTGAAGCCTCCAGCATAGATTGTTTTTTCAGGGCATCAGTCAGTTGTTGCTGAAGCTGTATTACCACTACCTGATAAGAGAATTCTGTTACTGATTTTATACATCACCTTGTTATTCAGTTCAGTTTGTAACGTGTTACTCTAATGTATACACTGAAAACCATCTCCACATACATCCACTCTCCTTCTCTTCCTCATGTGCATCCGTCCCTGTTTATTACTGGATTCAGTTCAGGGCACAGGTCAGGGGCTAGTCAGTACTGGGTTACTCAGACAGGAGAACAACCCACTTACCCCTCCTCCTCTGATGAATTTGCAAGGCTTAATAACTCCTAAACTCTCCAGAAGAAATGAGTATGGGGGTGGGGCTGGTGATGGTATACTCTGGCTAGCATTTTGCATCTTTTTAATGAGAGGTTTCAAATTAACTTCAGGGTTTCTCACATATTCAATGATCTACTCAAGAATCCTTCCAAAAGATCCCTATCTCAGAATAAAAGTACAATTCCTCCAGCTTTCAAGGTAGTCTGTAGGTAACCCCACCTCCACCTCCTTCCCTGACCTCAGCTCCTGCATCCTTTCTGAGTATTCACTAGTTCCTGCTGTGCATGAACTCTGTAAGCCCCCCTCATTAGGTTGCAAAAGGGGATCATTAATAAATCGCAAAGAGTTAACTATCTTTGTGCTGAACAAAGTAAAATTGAGATGATAGCAACTGAGCCATGAGTAAATTAAATGAGTAAATTATTTGTAAAAATGTTTAAATTGTAAATACCAGCAGGAAGACTGAGTCGAAAGTTTTGCTAAAATCAGCTACTTTTGCCTGAAATTATGATTTAACAAGATGTAGATGTCATTAAAGAATTTTGAGGTCATCAGAGTACATAATTTGAGGCTCAGCTAAGGTGTCATGGGCTGCTAAGGTGCTAGATCCTCAGGCTGGAACCACAAGAGGCCTGGGTTCAATTCCAGGTCCAACCTAAAGACTGGGCACAGTGATGTGTACCTGCAGTCTTAGCAACTCAGGGAAACTGAGGCAGCTCAAGCCTGGCCTGGGAAACACAGTGAGACCCCGTCTGAAAAAAGAACCGGGCACATTGATGTGTTCCTATAGTCTCAGCTGAGAGGCCGAGGCAGGAAGATGGTGACAGCAAAATCTGTCTAAAAAAAAAAAGAATACATAATCTGAGATCAAAATATTTCTGTTGAAATTGATGCAAAATTATGCCATTTGATAGAAAGTGGATGGACATGAAAAATTTATTGCTGAGTGAAGCAAGTCAGGCTATGAAACAGAGACATTGTATGTCTCCAGTTAATGTGTACCAACTGTCTATGGTAGAGACTGAAAGGCTGGAGGACCTAAAAGTACTGAAAAATTTTATGGATACTGGACGAAGTGGGAGGAGAGTAGGAGAGGGCAAGAGTGCAGGAGGGGAAACTTAAGAAAACGTGGAGAAGTAAGACATTTGTGGGACACAGATATGGTTTGCTACCTGTGGGTGATGCTGTGTGGTATATATCATGTTGGGGAAAATCTCTTTACAAACTAAATGATGTGTAATGATCGAAGGTATAAATAATAATAAAAAATATTAATAGTGGAAAAAATTATACCATCTAAATATATATTTATATTTTAAAAAGGTACAGAAAAAAAAAGTATTATGAGATATAGCAACTACCACTTGATTCATTTTGTAAATCTGTAGTGAACTGTATAAGTAACCACTCAATTGAAGCTTAATCTCAAAATTCTCATTTTTGGGGGGTCACTAAGTGGTGTGGAGTTAAATTCTCTGGATCCTACATTGCCAACTACACAGTTTGAGTCCCAGTCTCAAAGTCTTGATAAACATGCTGGGAACATGTACATGTATGCACCAAATCCCCAGAGGACAATGGAGGAAAAGGGACCATGGCATGGTCATCCCCCTTTGGACATAATTTCTCAGTATCCTCCTCTTTTTCCTCCTCCAGTGAGTACCATGTGCCTCATAGCAAACTAAACAAAAAGAAACATAATGAAACAAAAACTCTTCATTTTCCATGAGAATGTGTCCATTTATCTGCTTCATCATGGCCATAAAAGGTTGCAACATAAAGTTATTAAAATTATTTCAGCAGTATATGCCTATATTATTATTATCAGCCTATTAACATCTATAATCTTATAACTTAACTTATTATTAGCTGGAAGCAAGGTAAGTTTCTAAGCTAATATAGCAAATACATTACTACCTATTTTTAAAAAATAATTATTCAATTATATTTATCATTATAATTGATTTTTAAATTTGCTACAGAGGTGGGGGACCAGCAGATGGCATAATGGCTGTGTCACTGCACTTCTATGCAGTCAACCTGATTTGAGTACTGGATCCAGCAGGTTAAAACTCATGCCAGCTGAGTGTGCATGCAAGCCGAAAGGGCAGTGGAGGAGATGGGATTGCAGCATGGTCATCCCACCAGGGGGTGATTTCTTGCTTTCTGTCTGTCTCTCTGGTGAGCACATGTACCCTATAGCAAAAATCTCTCTAAACATTTTTTTTCCCCTACAGGGAGCTCGCACATGCGAGAGAGACAGAGAGAGAAAATGAGAAAGCAAGCTGCTAGGTCCAGGACTCAAACCACAACTGGCCATGTGGGAGTCCAGTGCCTTAACCACCATGCCACCTGCTGACTCTAACATATACGTATATACATATGCACATATACACACACACACACACACACACACACACACACATACACACACACACACATTCAACTAGAGTCAACATTTAGCCATAATCAAAAATTCGTTTAAATTTTGATACTTTCCTCTGTCCCTGCTCTCTCATTCTCATACTGACGCAGTCTGCCTTTTAAATGATTACACTCAGCGACTAGCTCCTTATTTCTTTCTGATGTCTCATTCTCACATTGACGCAGTCTTTCCTTCAAATGATTAAACTTGGAGACTAACTCATCTCTTTCTGCTCTCTCATTCTCATACTGACGCAGTCTGTCTTTTAAATGATTACACTCGGCCACTAACTCCTTATTTCTTTCTGATGTCTCATTATCATATTGACGCAGTCTTTCCTTCAAATGATTACACTCGGCGACTAACTCCTTATTTCTTTCTGATGTCTCATTTTCATATTGACGCAGTCTTTCCTTCAAACGATTTCTCTCGGCGACTAACTCACGTCTTCCGGCTCTCTCATTCTCACATTGACGCAGTCTTTCCTTCAAATGATTACACTCGGCCACTAACTCCTTATTTCTTTCTGATGTCTCATTATCATATTGACTCAGTCTTTCTTTTAAATGATTAAACTCGGAGACTAACTCATGTCTTCCCCCTGCTCTCTCATTCTCATACTGACGCAGTCTGTCTTTTAAATGATTACACTCGGCGACTAACTCCTTATTTCTTTCTGTCTCATTCTCAAATTGACGCAGTCTTTCTTTTAAATGATTACACTCAGCGACTAACTCATCTACTCCTGCTCTCTCATTTTCGTATTGATGCAGTCTTTCTTTTAAATGATTACACGCAGTGACTAACTCGTATCTTCCTGCTCTCTCATTTTCGTATTGACGCAGTCTTTCCTTTAAATGATTACGTTCAGTGACCAACCCCCTTTTTCTTTCTTCTTTCTCATTTTCATATTGATGCAGTCTTTCTTTAAAATGGTTATACTCAGTGACTAACTCCTTATTTCTTTCTGCTTCCTCATTTTCATACTGATTCAGTCTCTCTTTCAAATGACCAGATTCATGGAGTAACTCCTTATTTATCTTTTCCACCATAAGGTTTTGTTTTTCACTCTGAACTTGAAGGTTTTTTACAATATCACAAAGCTGATCCTGCATATCAACTGTCTTTGCTTTAGCATCAGCTTCATTTTGAGCATTTTCCAGTTGCTGTCGAAGCGACATATTTTCACTTTGTAGTCGACATGATTTTTCCTCTAGAGACTTCATTTTTCCCATGAGTTTATTCATTTTATTTTGATATTTCAGTTCAGTTTCCTTCACTTGACCCTGTATTTGGCTTAGGTTTCTCTCTACTTGCTCTAAAGCCAAAGTCTTTTCTCTGAGAGTTTCTTCTCTCGTGTGCTGGAGTTCAATTTTTAGACTAGTGAGTTTACTTTCAGTTTCAGAAAGTTGTTGAGAAAGACTCTCATTTTCCTCTTTCAAGTTAGACACATCTAAATACATTTTGTCCTGTAAACGAGACCACTCATCTCTTGTTCTCTGGAAATCAAGTTCTAGTTCTCTTTTTGACTTCTGATTTTCATCCCGATCGTGTATAGCAGCAGCCAGTCTAGAATGGTATGATTCCACTTCTGCTTCCAGTCTTTCCTTGTTTTGCTTTTCATTCTCCAGTTCAGAATTTAACTCTGTATTCTGAGTTGTTAGAACATTAAGCTCTCCACTATACTGGGATATTGTTTTACTTAATGTTGCCTCATTCTGTTTTATTGTCTTTTGAAGAGCACGAGTCTTTTCTTTTAGAATTTGAATGTCCTCAACATATTTCTTTTCTTTTTCTTGGTTCTGATTTTGTATTCTATCTATTTCCACTCGTAGTTCAGCAATTTCATTCTGCAACCGGTGATTTTTTCCCCACAGATATTTTACAATTTCACAACTATCAGAAACCTAAATAAAAACAAAGAAGACTTTTTGACTAGTACTCAAAAAATGCCATATCATGATTTCCTCTGAAATTAAAAAATAAATAAACTGAACATTTATACGTGTGTTACAATAGCAGATATTTAACTGGAAATAAATTTGGACACAATACTCAAACCTTATAGAAGCTCAAATTCCTCCAAATTCAAAAAATTAATTGAAGACAATGAATCTATAAACATAAAAATGAAGCCATGAGAGAATGTTTAATTATCTCCACAAAACACAAAATCACTGACGAGAGAGAGAGAGAGAGAGAGTTTTTTGCTTACCCACCAGTAAGACAGAGAGAGATAGAGAGACAGAAAGCAAGAAATAAACCCATGGGGGGATGGCCACACCCCAATCCCTTCTCCTCCAATCTGATGGGGCCAAGCAGCTAACACAGGCTGAACATAAAGGAGCTGCCTCTCATGCCTAAGCAAGGACTGGGCTGAGAAGAACTGTAAGCAAGGTCAGAGTTACGAGTTCCAGTTCTACACTCTGTTGCTGTACTGGTCTGTGCTCAATTCCTCTGCCATGAGCTTTACAGACGGTACCCCATAAGGGCAAAATAACACCCCCAGCCTTACTGTGACTTTTACAATAATCCTGAAGAAATGCGGATCCCTAACGCGGAGGCAAAAGGGAATTATCTCCTGAGACTTGCCCCACCTGCCTGGAAAATGTCAATAAAGAGTGCTGCATTCACCTCTCCTACTGGGGATTACATAGATAACATTAGAAAAGGTTGAGTTAATGGAAAGCTACTAAATTGGTGAAACAACCTCAGTAGCTGGGAGAGGCTTAGGGACTCATCTGGGAGGCACTGATACCCTAAACAAAGACCATGAGCCACCTTTGATCTCAGGACAAGAAAAGACTGCTGCTTCCCCAAGCCACAGTCATTCTATAGAATAGCACGTAGAGGGTCCCAAGTATACAATAACCTTTAGGTCAGTCATTAAGCTGCTTACAAGACCACATTCCTTCTCCATATGGGCAATAGGCTCACCCCCTTAGTTGTAATATAGATATTCCACACTTCAGTATATATTAACCATGCCTTTACTTAACAAGACAAAATTTCTATCTAGGCCTTTGTAACCGGCAATGCTGCTGTGCTGGCCCGGGACTGAAGTCATCAAGCTTTCTGCAAACCCCCTCTTCAAAAGACCCTTCCCGGTAATCAAGATCTAAGAAGAAAATGCACCAGACAGATGGACTCCCTCATCCTGAGAACTGTAATTGATTATACCTAATCAAACAAGACAGACATCATGTTTTATGATTATTGTTCCTGTGCTTTGAACACCTCATTTCTTAGAGTAAATCTTTTACCTCTCCCTCACCTCTCCTACTCCTGTAAGACATCCCTCAATAAATACATATGTTTGATAGCCACTGGGGCTGCAGTCTTGAGCTGGCTCTGACTGTAGTTGGCTGAGAACATGCTAAAGAGCATTGAGGTCTCAGTCTGATTCCTGCTCACCTGTGTTGCCTTCCCACCCTGGCTGCAGCAGGGCTTCCAGCACCAATCTCCTCTCAGGATCTTGGGCACGCATGCACTCACACCCAGCGTGAGTTTAAGCCACCAGATCCAGGACTTGAACCACAGTCGACTACATGGGAGTCCAGTGACAAAGTCATTATGCCAACTAATGGTTCCAAGCTTCTAATATTTTTATAGTTAGTTATATTAATTATATTTACTGATAAATAATAAATTTAGGCATTGCACTGAGCACTTCTACAAACATCAATAAACTCAGTTATCACAATTTTAAAAAGGACACGTTAAAAATATAAACACACCGTAGTATTTCCCCTAAGCTTTTTAAAAAATTTAAGAATCATTTATTATTTAATTTTATTAATTATTATTACTATTCAATTTAACCAGAGAGACAAAGCAAGTCACTAGATCCAGGACACAAAATGCAGTCGGCCATGTGGGCATCCAGTGCCCCAACTGCTACACCACCTGCTGATCCCTCTCCAGGCTTTTGAATCTACTTCCAGTGCACTTCTAGCAAGCCAGTTACTTCTACAGTGTAAACATATACTCTGAATACAAAAAAGGCTTACATTTCAAAACAGTAAAAGCCAGATCTTGGAAAATCAAGAGAGGGCCAGCCAGGTGGCATGGTGGTTGAGGTGGCTGGATCATACATGGCCAACTGTCCAGTTCAAATTCCAAACTGGCAGGATGAAAAACACATCAGGTATATGTGCATGCATGGCAAAATCTCAAGAGGAAAATGGAAGAGAAGGGACTAAGATGTGACCATTCCCCCAGAGGGAGATTTATCACTCTTTCTCAGAAAATCATGAGATCATTTGCTGTTGCAATAACTTTTGTTTCTCTTTCATAATGTTTGAAGCAGTAATAAATGTGAAATATGGTTTAGTACACTGTCCTATTTTTCTTGCAACAAAATACTTGGCAATTTATTATCAACAAGTATATATTATGATATGTCATATGTCATTCTGTTAAAAAATCTCTTTGTACTGAAATAGAATGCTACTTGGAGCAAACTGTTCTTTTTTTTTTTTTTTGAGACTTTTTTTGCTATAGGGTGCACGTGTTAAATAGACAGAGATAGAGAGACAGAATGTGAGAACTCACTCCCCCATGAGGGATGACGATGCCGCAATCCATTCTCAAGCTGCTGGGTCCAGGAGTTGAACCGTGGTTAGCCATTGGGAGTCCAGCACCTTAACCTCTATGTCACCTTCTGGCCCACAAACTGATATTCTTAAAAGTGAAAAGAAAAGGGCCCAACAGGTGGCATAGTGGTTAAGGTACTGAACTCCCACTTGGCTAGTTCAAGTCCTGGACCCAGTGGGTTGAAACTTATGCCAAGAGCATGTGTGTGCATGTCCCAAGTCCTGAGAGGATAATGAAGGAGAATGAATTGTGATGTAGCCATTCCACCTGGGAGGTGATTTCTTGATTTCTGTCTCTCTGTCTCGCTCTGTCTCTCAAGCAAGCACACACACCCTATAGCAAAATTCTCTCAAATCAAAAAAGTGAGAATGACATCCAAAATTGATGTCTGAACCGTCTGTTCTCCTTCCGAATCAGCAGAAATAAACTATCCTGTCCATTAACATATCAAGGTTGTGAGTGCCAGCCCTGTGGCCTAGTGGTTAAAGGGAGACAGATTCCAGACAGTTGACTGTAGTTGGAATCCTGGCCTAGCAGTTTGGAAAATGTACTGGGCATGTACGTGTGCACCCGCAATCCTGATGGAAGAAGTGGAGAAGGGATTGTGCTATGACCACTCCTCACTGGAAAGTGCTTCTTCCCTCCTCCCCATTTCTTTTATGTGCATACATACCCTTTGACAATAATAATAATAATAATAATAATAATAATAATAATAATAAAGGGACCATCAGATGGCATAATAGTTATGTTACTAGAATCCCAAGTAGTCGACCCCAGTTCAAGTCCCGAACCCAGTGACTTAAAACTCATGCCAGGTGCAAGTGTGTGCATGCCCAAGATCCCAAGAGGAGAATGGAGAAGAGATTGCAGCATGACCATCCCCTTGGAGGGTGATTTTCTGCTTTCTGTCTCTCTGTCTTTCTCGGGTGAGCACGTGCACCCTTATAGCAAAAATCTCCCTTAAAAAATAAAAATTTTAAAGCAGGTAAAATTACTGCCAAAATCAAGACTATCTACTGTTAGTAGCAAGGGTTTTCAGATTATGAGAAGATCATCAATTACTATGGTAACTATTAAAAGCCTATGCTTTGATGAGGTTATTGTGAATGTCACTACTGGACTGTCACAGACAACTGGAGTTGAATTAGAAACATGGCTAAACATCGCCACCACCATCTGCCAAAAAGATTATGTGCATACATGGCTTGGATTGGAGGGCATAAAAAGCAGTGAAAATACTTATGGACATTGTAGATAGTGTGGAAGGAGGGTGGAAGAGGAGAAGAGTGTAGGGAATCGAGGAAGAAAAAATAGAGAGTAAGACATTTGTGGGACACAGAAGTGATTTATTACCTGTTGATGATGACATGTATAGTATTCTCAACTAGACTGGTCTGAGGTATATTTCTTATTGGGTAAATTTCTCTGTACAAGCTAAATGATATGTAGCAACTGAATGTATAAATAATAATACATCTCTCTTTTAAAAATCTATGCTTTCCATGATACATACAGTTGATTTTGAGATATATACACATACGAATACATAAACATGCATATTTGAAGACTCATAAAAAATTACCTGTGAATTGATTTTCTTTTCAGTCATTTCCAGCTCCTTTTGTTTGCAAAGATGACTGGCCAGAACCTTCTCTTTTATTATTCTCATATTCTGTTCTAAAGAGAGTTGTCTCTTGGTGTTTTCTTGCTCTTCTTCAACCTAAAAGTACATTTCCATTAAGTATTTGGTCCCATACTATTGGGGAAAAAAGTCTAAAAGCTTAATTAAGTATAGAAGCCCTTTTAAAAAGCCATTAAGAGGCCAGTAGACGGTGTGATGGTTAAGGTGGTGGACTTCCACCTGGCCAGCTGCAGTTCAAGTCCCAGGACCTGGAAGCTTGCTTTCTCACTTTCTCTCTCTCTCTGTTGAGTATGTGTACTTTGTAGCAAATTAAAATAATGATAATAATTAATAAAGTTAATTCTTCTTTTTAAAAGAATTATTTATTTAATTTTACTTTTTAATCATTTATTTTAATTTGATCAGAGAGCGACAGAGAGAGAGAGAGAGAAAGTGAGTTAGCAAGCCACCAGGTCTAGGACTTGAACCATGGTCAGCCATGTGGGAGTGTCCAGCGCTTTAACCACCACGCCACCTGCTGGTCTAAGTTTCTTATCATTTCAAAGATATTTAGCTTGTGCTTTAACATAAAAATGCCTGAAGTGGGACAGCAGGTGGTTTGGTTAAGGTGCTGAATCTTACATGGCCAACCAAGTGGTTCAAGTCCTGGAGTGGTGGCCTGTAAAACACGATAGGTGTGTGTGCTTACATGTTCAAAATCCCAAGAGGGGAATAAAGACATGACCGTGGTGTGGCTATTCTCCATGGGGGCTGATTTCATACTTTTCCTCTCTCTTGTCTCTCTCTATGTCTCTTCTATGCCATAGAATGGAAAAAATCTAAGAAAAGAACAGCCTCGGATAGCATTTATGTTAGTGACTAACTCAACCCACTTCCCATTCTTTCATTGAGAAATCATAGAGTGTTGATTCGATGCCAAGATTTTGAATAAATACCTTTAGCTAGATATGTCATACTTCATTTTTAGGATGGAAGAAAATTTGGGGTTTGTTTTAAACTCCAAAAATAAATATGAAATAAAAGTGATATGTTATTAGTAATATTGATGAAATAAAGTTAGAAATATAAATTTTTACCAAAGATTGATTTACCGGATTCAAATTATTTCTTGCACTCTTCAATTCTACATCCAGGGTTCTAAGATTGAGTTCAAGTGGTTGTTTCATTTCAACTCCTCTGCCGTATTGGTCTTCTTTTCCTTTTAATTGTTTCCTAATTTTTTAGACAACATATGAGTACTTCTTCTCTTCTCTCCTGTATTGGCTTATAAAGTTTCTATGTCCTCTAATATTTTTTTCTTTCTAGCTTTCATGTTTTTAATTTTTTACTTCCATCTATTCCAAAGGAAACACTTGTTTGAAAGAGCGCAATGAAATGACATTCTACTTAATTGGACAGTTTCTGTTAACTGTAACTGTTAAATATTATCAAAAAAGGAATTTCAAAATGATTAAGTAATGTTACTTAATCAAAAGTCTTCATTACTCCTCAACTGGGATGGGTAATATAGAGTTAACTACTTTTTTAAAAAAGTTCTCATTTAGAAGCAAGTTTATAAATTCACTAGAAATAAGAATCTATCATTGAGTATCACAGGTTATCTTAAAGTGATCTAGCATGTAAGACAGCAACTCTCACACAACAGATATCTGCAGATTGCTCACTTACACCTAGGACCAGGACTCTAATCATCTGTCAGCCCACCCTTTTTTGGTGGTAAAAGTTTGAATTTATCTTCTTGATTATTATGTATTTTATAAACAATTTTTAAAGTCCTTTCAAACAAGACAGGAGCTAGTAATTAAAATACAGAGTAATATTGGGCTGTCAGAAAAGTCATGAGGTAGTTTTCTATGTTTTTTTTTTCTGTGCAAAACTGCATCATGAGTTCTCCAACAATACAACATATGCTTTCTTTTTCTTTTTTCTTTTTTTATTTTTGAGAGGTTTTTGCTATAGGGCATGTGCACTTGCCAGAGAGACAGAGAGAGACAGAGAGACAGAGAGAAGAAAGTGAGAAATCATCCCACGGGGGAATAGCCACGCTGAAATGCCTTCTTCATTCTCCTCTCTGAATCTTGGGCATGCACACACACGCACCCAGCGTGAGTTTAAGCCACCGGGTCTGGAACTCGAACCGCGGTCGACTACATGGGAGTTCAGCGACATAGCCATTACGCTAACTGCTGGTCCCAACATATGTTTTCAACACAGAATTTTGAATTATTTTTATACCTGTATGTGAGAAAGAGGTTGAATAAACTAATCAGTAATCACATCCTACTTTATTTTTCATTCTATTCATGTTCAGAATAAAACCGTACAATTTGTTTCTAACATTGTGAATTCATAAAAATGGCCATTTTGGTAGAATCATAAGTAATATAAACTTTGTTTTCTAAAATAATTTTATTTATTTTAGAAAGGAACGCACAAAAGAGAGAGAGAAAGAGACATTATACTTTCAACAGGGTGCCAACACCACAATCCACCTCTCGACCTAGCTAGTCCCAGATCATGAGCATATGTGAACCAGTGTGCTGAAGGAGGTGAGTGGATGTGAACCCGAAACCCTTCCCACATGAAGCAGCCTCTCAGAGCACCATGTTGCACCACTGCACCACCCCCTGGCCCCAGTATAAATGTTCCTGATACACAGCAATTCAGGATCAAATCCAGGATCTGGCAGCTTGAAAAACATACCAGTCATCAAAGACTTTTTTTTTAAAGTTCCTACTTTTACCAAATAATCTAAGTTGAAGAATTTACTCAAAGCGAACAATGAGAAATGTAGAAAAAGGTTCCTATAAAAGATGATCCTAGCAGCATGAATTGTAAAACAAATATTGGGTCATCGGAAAAGTCATGACATATTTTTCTATACAAAAATGCATCATGACTTTTCCGATCCACTAAAATTTCAATATTTGATTTGTTAAATAAATCAGATTTCCATACAGTGGACTTCTGTATGGCATTAAAATTCTTTTATTTTTACTTCCTGAGATTGATTTATTTTAATTTTATGTATGTATGTATGTATGTATTTACAGTCATTCACTGTACATCAACACAGTATACAAAATGAGATTTTCTATCCAGTATACATTGTATATTAGCTCAATGAAAGATATAACAATACATGCTATCATCAACAAATAATTTTCTATTTCTTGTTTCTTATATCTTTTGCCTTTTTCCCTCTTGAAGCCCTACCTCTCACCCTCTATCAATTGTCCCCCTTCTCCCACACTCTCTCTGGTATGTACAGTTGTTTTACATGCCTTTTATTTTTTTTTACATTTTATTGATTAACTAAAGATCTTAATTTGAAGACTTTCACTAGCAAGCACAATTGATACATACATACATATTTATGAGCACATGACTGACTGTAGGCATAAACCTCAGTGAGTAAAGTGAACATACTATAAAGTAGCACCTTACAGGGGCTACAGAGCTTACTGCAGTCATTAAATAGGTATTAATAGGTAGTTTTTTGGAGAAGATTTTGTCATAGGGTGCGTGCGTTCACTAGAGAGAGACAGAGAGACAGAAAGTGAGAAGTCATCCTCTGGGTAAATGGCCACACCACAATCCCTTCTCTTCCATCTCCTCTTGGGATCTTGGGTATGCACGCACACAGACCCAGAGTTAGGTTTTTTTTGTTTGGTTGGTTGGTTGCTTTTTTTTTTTTTTTTTTTTTTTTTATATTTTGCCAGAAAGACAGAGACAGAGAGACAGAAAGCAAGAAATCGCTCCTGAGGGGGGGGATGGCCACACTGCAATCCCTTCTCCTCCATTCTCCTCTCGAGATCTTGGGCACACACGCACATGCGCCCATAGTGAGTTTAAGCCATTGGGTCTGGGACTCAAACCATGGTCGGCTACATGGGAGACCAGCGACATAGCCGTTATGCTAACTGCTGGTCCCAATAGGTATTTTTTAAATTCATTTTTTTATTTCAAAAAGAAGTTGTAGTTTTAATAGGTCAAAATAAAAAAATGTTAACAGAAATTTGCTTAAAACTTTTTTTTTTTGTATTTGACATGAAGATATTTATTTTGTGAAACAATGCAAGGGATTATAAATCCCCACATACTATTTGATTAAGTTTAACCGGGTACAGTCGTGCAACCTCTACACAGTAGTGCATCTAGTCCTTTGCCTTTAGTTATTGCACAAAAATAATAAAGACTAGTGAACAAGACATGCAGACTCGGACAGGCAAACAGGCCTCCACAATGAGAAATTAGAACAGTACATCGACTGGAATGGTCAAATAGCTTATGTCAAATGTTTTAATGGTGCAAGTAAAATGATCAAGGTTCAAATAATATTGTTCAATATATTAATTTCTTTTAAAGTCATGTTCAGACAAGGTACTATTTAAAAAAAAATAAAAACACTATTAGTTTTGTCCACAGATGTAAGTTATCAAAAGTTACCCAAGGTAATTTTGATATTGAATACAATTTTCAACAATAAAAATTTGTAAGTTTTACTTCTTGAAGCAAATTATACAATAAGAGAAAGGGCCCCTAAAGTTATAAACTAAATATTCTGACACAAATGCACAAAATTAAGTTGGCAACATTAAAGAAGGGTCACATGTTATTTTCAAGACATGATGTAGTGTTTGATGTGGAGCAAACTTTTGGTCTTGGCTTGCAACAATTAGTAGTTCTCCATTTTGACCGCCAGAAGAGGAAACTGCCCAAGAAATTCCAAATCAATTATTATTATTTTTTTTTTTTTTAGAGATTTTTGTTATAGGGCGCGTGCGCTCACCAGACAGAGACACAGAGACAGAAAGTGAAAAATCACCCCCCAGGGGGGATGGTCATGCCACAATCCCTTCTCCATTCTCTTCTCGGAATCTTGGGCACACACGCACATGCGCCCGGTGTGAGTTTTAAGCCACCAGGTCCGGGATGCGAACCACGGTCGACTACGTGGGAGTCCAGCAACATAGCCATTACACTAACTGCTGGTTCCCTCCAATCCATTCTCTATTAACAAAGCGTTTAGATTCCTGTATAAAACTTCCTGGAACACACAGGAAGTGCCAGGTGAAAAGACTGGCTCTGGCCCTCCGGCCCTGCCCTGTGTATGTGTGAGAGGAGCAGTCTAGTCCTGTGGGTTTAACAAGCTTGGAACACTCAGGATTAGTTAGAAACCAGGTGATTGTATGTCATTGGGGAAAGGCTTGCGATGGTTTGATCTTGTGGCTTAGCCTAGTGTTCTCACTAGTTCTCGTAAGTCCCACTGTCCCCACGTCAGCTGACTGTGAGTGTGTGTGTGTGTGTGTGTGTATGTGGATAATTGCTTCCAAAATGCACAACATGTAAAAAGGAAAGCACTTCTCTAGGCCTGTCTTTACCACCAATGAAATGGCTCACAAAATCTCACTCCCTGCCCACCACGCACACACTACCACATGGGCATGGACTGTGAGTGTGGAGAGACACAATTATGCAAAGTACAGAAATGAAAACATGTTCCATTGTGCACCAGATGCTTGAGGAAAAGCTTTGGAGAGTTGAAGAGGCAAGAGGCAGCCTTCCAGTTGTGCAGTTTTGCTCTTGATGTGCTCACAAAAAATGATGGACTTAAAAAGCCACGACGTGAGTCAACTGTAACTTCAGATCCATCATGATAATTCTCCTAGGCTCCTTTGTCAAGTCAAAACCTTGCAACAGACAATCCAAACACCTTCGCTAGATGCAGGGGACACCTCACAGTGGAAGGCAGAGGGCAGAAGCAGTCCTTGAGGAAACAGTAGCTGTGGCACAGGTAAGAGCCAGTGCAATAGCACACATGACAGCCAAGAACCTTGAGCTAGACCTCAGAGTACTGGGAGTGTGTCAGATCTTTACAGCTGATCAGTGGCCTCCCCAGGTGAGTCTTCCAGGAGGCAGGAAGTGGAGTGAGGGTCCATGGCTGAGTGCATTAGAGGGATATAAACATCGTCCATGTTTGGCATCACAAAAACTTTCTGGAACTCTTGCTCCAGTTTCTTCTCTATCCAGTTTGTCACATAAACTAAAGTCACTTCTCTCTCTCCAAGTTTTGGTTGAGCTTTTAGCTCCACATATGGTGGCTTCTGGAAACCATACTAGATTTGGTCAGTCGAGGGTGGTGAAATGTTGATGGCCAAGGTTCTTCGACATTCTTGAACTTCAACAGTTAGCAGCAGGGATGTATTGGAGACTTCTTGAATCTTCTTTTTCATTACCTCTGTCTCTGTTGCTTTCTGGAAATATTTTGACTTGGTAATTTTATCAACGAACCTCATGATCTTACTTGTTTGATGACAGCCAACGCCCCCCTCATCCCCCAGGAGAAGATGTTTCTCTCCCCCAGCAGGCTCTGGAACATCATCTTCTTCAGGGGAGCCAGCACTGAAGGATTCCTCATTGCTGTTGGCCAGACAGTACACCCTGGGCCTGCAACTTTCTTTGCCAATTTCTCCAACCTTCAAGGCTTCAACAAGAAAAGCTTTACCTAGTTTGGTCAAATTCATTTTGGTCTTGAGAGTTATCAGAAAGGAACCATTGTAGGACATTTCCAAATCTATCCAGAGTCCTTGGTGATCAACAGAAGGCTTGAAACTTAAAGCCAGGAAAAAGGTTAGGATTCAGTTCAATTAGTAGGTAGATGAACCTATTAACAACTCAAGAGAAGACAAAAATCTTTAAATATGGAAATTAAAGCATAAAAGAAAATCAGTAATGTTTTAGTCTAAATTCAATAAATTCTTTCAGGGACCTGCAGTTGGTGTAATGGCTATGTGGCTGGACTCCCACGTATTCGACCACGGTTGGAGCCCCAGACCCGGTGGCTTAAATTTATGCCGGTTGCATGTACATGCGTGCCCAAGATCCTGAGAGGAGAATGGAGGAGAAGGGATTGCAGCATGGCCATCCCCACTGGGGGGTGATTTCTCGCTTTCTGTCTCTGTCTCTCTCTGTCTTTCTGGCAAGCGCACACGCCCTATAGCAAAAATCTCTCTGAAAAAGAAAAAAATCTATTTCACTAGTTCAGAGTCATTTGCTTAATCTCTCTTATATTGAATTTGCAGTGTTACTGTGATCTGATCTTTCCATTTAAACTCTGAAAGTTAACATTCAACTCTGGACTTATCCCTACCATTAGGCTGGCCATTCTCTTGGTTGTTTCTTGTACTCTTATTTCTGTGTGTCTGACTTTAGTTTTCCTGGTATAGCACTCCCTTCAGCACTTCTTGGAGAGCTGGCCTGGTGTTGGTAAATTCTTTCAGGTTTTATCTGAGAATCTTTGTGTCTGTTTTTCTCATGTGAAAGATAATCTTGCTGGGTATAGTATTCTTGGCTGAAATTGGTTTTCACTTAACGCTTTGAATATAGTTTCTCATTCTGTGCTTGCTTGCATTGTTTTTGAGAAGAGGTCTGACCTTAGACTTATGGGATATTCTTTGAAAGTAACTTGACATTTCTCTCTTGCCAATTTTAGTATCTTTTTTCCATCTGTGGTTTTGACCAACCTGGCTATAATGTGCCTTGGAAAAGACCTTCTTGGGTTGATTCTGTGTGGGATTCTTTATTTTCTTGGGTCTGGATACCTGAGTGCCTCTCTAGGTTTGGAAAGTTTTCTTCCAGGATTTCATGGAATACATTATCAGTGCCCTTATTAGTTTCTTCACTATCTGGGATATCGATGATATGGATCTTCAGGTATTTAATGGTGTCTAATATTACTCGTATGTTGTTCTCATTTTTAGGGGTTATTTTATCAGTCTTTATGGTGAAATTTTATAGGTCAGAGATCCTAACTTCTACATCTGAAATTTGGTCTTCTTTATGATCTAATCTGCTTTTGATACTTTCATTGGAATTTTTGATTTCCTGTTTTATAGCCTTCATCTCTAAGAATTTCGTTTGATTCTTTTTTATGATGTGTATCTCCTCTTTCAGATGGTTCAAGAACTTCCTCACCTCCTGGAACTCGGTGTCTCTTTTCTTCTTTACCTTCTGGAGTTCATTGTCTCTATTCTCTTGCATCTCTTTTAGCTTTGTCACTATGAATATTTTAAATTCTTTATCTGACATTTCCATGAGTTTCCTTGTATTTTTTTTGTGGAGGAAGATGATTTTTCCATTTAAACTCTGGAAGCTAACATTCAACTCTGGACTCGTCTCTACTATTAGCATTCAACTTTCCATTAAAGGAGAGATATTTTATTGGTTTCTCATAGTTCTTGTACCTATGTGGTGTTTTCTCAGCATCTGATGGATTATACTTTTTTTTTTCACCTGTTATTTGGAGTTAAATCTGATCATTCAGAGGAATGCAAGAGAAGATGACCTGCAATTTGTAAATAGTACTGTTTTTCTCCCTTTGCACAGCTGATTAAATGAAAATTGAGGATTAATCTAACCCTAAATGTATTTAGATATTTGGCTACTGAGCACCTAGAGCTGTCTAGAAAATCAGTGTGTGGAGGCTGAGCAGAAAAGTTAGAAAGGTAAAAAGAAAAGGAAAAGTAATAGGAAAAAAAGACAAAAATAGTAAGAAAAAAAAAGAAAAAATTTTTGATCAAAAAATAACAGGGTAGGGTGCTCTAACCTACCTCCTGACTAGACCTGGGAAGACAGAGAGTGAAGTTTGGGCAGAGGAAACTGTAGTAGAAGGGATTGCAGCATGACTTTCCCCCTGGAAGATGTTTTCTCACCCACCACACCCTCCTCTACTCTGAAGAGGACACAGACCTATAAGTGGGGGCGGGGAGGATCTATTCAGTCTGCCATAAGTGTTTGTGTTTTTATTATTACATATTTTTTTAAATGATCTCTGATGCCAGCAGATGGCATAGAAGTTACATTGCTGGACTTCCACATGGCTGATCACAGATCAAGTGCTGAACCAGAAGGCTTGAAAATCATGTTGTGCACATGTGTGTGAATGCCCAAGAACCCAGGAGTAGAATAGTGGTAATTTTTTCTATTATTATTTTTTAATTAGACTAGAGACAGACAAAAATGGACTGTGAGAAAGCAAGCCACCGGGTCTAGGAAACGAATCACAGCTGGCCATGTGGTAGTCCAGTGCCTTATCCACCACGCAACCAGCTGGTCCCAAAAGTTCAACTTTTAAGTCATCATTTATATGTTGAAGTACATCAGGATATTCATTTCTGAACTAATTTTGAATGAACGCCCTCCTACCATGAAATGATACATGAAAAAGAGTTTTAAGTACAATAGTTAACAGCTTACTGAAAATATTAATATCGATAATGTTTTAAGCATTTTAATACTAAGATAGTGTAACAAATTTAAATTTAATAAACATGTCCTTCTCTGTTAGATCATTTCCAACAGCATACAAACATAGTCTAGAAGCATCTGTTTTAAGATTAAAAAAAAAAAAAAAAGAAAAAAAAGGGAACCAGCAGTTAGCGTAATGGCTATGTCGCTGGACTCCCACGTAGTCTAGTCCAGTTCATGTCCTGGACCCGGTGGCTTAAAACTCATGCCGGCCGCGTGTGCGTGCGTGCCCAAGATCCTGAGAGGAGAATGGAGGAGAAGGGATTGCGGCATGGCCATCCCCCCTGGGGGGTGATTTCTCGCTTTCTGTCTCTATGTCTCT